TAATATTGAAGAGGCTGCTTGGTCACTTATAACTTCCATTCCATTCAGGTTCCAGGTCTTAATCAAGCTAGTCGAATGTTCTCTTTAATTTAAACTTGTGATAAGCAATGATATGGCTTTCGTTCTGATATGAATTCTTGATAATATACTTAAAATAAAAGCACATCCATCATTCGAAGAATGAAGTTTAATATGATTGTAATAACAGAACGCAGTACTCCCCATTATAAGCGCTTTCAGGACTTTTCTGTCATATCAAAAGGTATAACAAAGGCGATATTAGTTTGATCGAAGGACCCAGCTTCACATTATCTCCAAGTTATGTTTTAGTTCCCCGTTTGAAGACCTCATTGAAGGCTTCCTTGTACTTTGAGCTCATCCTGTAGTAGACAAAGATGTTGACGCTGGAATTGAGGCTTTCAATGACGAAAGCGGTTGAGAAGAGCACCCAGTTCATATTGGCGTAGCGTCCGATGACGCTCAGCTCGGGCTCAATACACCTGGCCGTCATAAGCAAAGGCACCGGGGTGAAACAGACGATGAAGATCGCTGAGATGGTGGTTACCATGACAACCACCTTCTTCTCTTTGGTCGGGAGCTCCCCTTTGGATGTGGCCACGCCGGAAGCTGTCTGTCTCCATTTGACCTTCTGCACTAGCTTAACCCTGATTATCACTGTGCATAGCAGGACCATGGTGAACACGCAAAATGGAGCAGTTAAATCTGTGATGAAGAGAGAGATGCCCTGAACCTCGTTCATGTTGTCTGTGTACAGAATGCCCAACAGAGTTTTGTTCATTTCCGGAAAATACTTCCAGCCATGGTAGGACGTGGTGTACACGGGTAGCATGCTGAGAAACGCGCAGATAAAGATAGTGACGTTGACCGCAATGACCACCCTCCGGGTGATGATGCGTTTCACTTTCAAGGGGATAGCAATACAGAGACATCGCTCAAAGGCCACAAACGCGGTTATCCATCCTGTAATGCGGGTGAAGCAGACGTGCGGGTGACCTCCTGTCAGGCTGATTGTCTCACTCGGGTTGAACGGAAGATCAGCCTGAAGAAACCACGGATTGACGCTAATAGCCATCCATGGTAAAGGAAGGAGGGCTCCCAGGTCAGCGATCGCCAGACTCAAGAAGCTGATGTTCACCGTGTCTGAGAAGCCTTGTTTGATAAAAACAACGATGTTGATGATATTGGTAACAATGCCGAAAAGTCCAACCACTGCACTCAGCACGCCGAAGTTAAGCAAAACGAGGACCCTTCGAACCTCATGGCTGAATACGGGAGAAAGAATTGACGACGTTACGTTTGTATCTTGTAACATATTGCCAGGTTTGAGGAGCAGTGTGGGTGGCTGCTACTGTCGGTATAGATGAGGAGATAGGTCAGTGAACCACCTGGGGAAAACAGGATTATGTTGCCTACTTTCAATCATAACGAAAACGCACAACCTGGGATGTATGTCTTCTCTTGTTACAGATTAGATTCTTAAAGTGAAAACGTTTTCAAGCTAAAAGCCCCTTTAACTTTATGCATACATCGGCACAACGTTTTGTAACGTAATTAGAAGTTGCTTATACTTTAAAACCGATCAGCCAATGCTCATGTCTTAGAAGCAACAAAGGTCAGTTGATTTTCCTGTTTGCATAATTTGTAAATTCAAAGTAACGTTATAATATGGAGGTGAACGTGCGAATTTTTTGCTGATATTAACGACTGTTTCTACTTCTTATTCAGGAGACAGGTGTTAAGCTTTTATCATCGAAACTAAACTAGACAAGAAAATATTAAAGGTTTTTTTTACGCCTTTCTGAAAAATTAGTGCAAAAGTACGTTCAGGTTTCCACTCGCTTATCGTCAATAGATAGATAGATAGATAGATAGATAGATAGATAGATAGATAGATAGATAGATAGATCACGAAGTAAAACCCCACCGTGTGAGCTGTGGGCATGCCTGTTAGCAGAAAGGTCACGTTTCGTCCTCTGGAGATAAATGCAGACTTCAAATGTGATTATTGCAAAGGATATCGTTTTGCGAAACATGCAACAGGAACTGAACAAAAAGAAAGCTATCCAGTTTTTTTTCTCCTATTATCAACAGGTGAAGTTACGAACTGAAAGGCATTCAGATATAATCAGCATTTTGACTTTATCGTCGTGGTTAAAAACTATAGAAGTTTTTAACCTAATCAGATCATGTTGTCTAGTTTCACCTGAAACCAAGTACCGACATTTGACCCAGTTTCACCTTAGTAGAGATAATTACGCTCCGGTTGAAAACTACAATTAGTACTTTGATCTTGACAAAGAGAGTTGTCGACTTTGGAAAACTTGGAAGTAAAAGACAAAAAACATACAGGGAAATGCTAATTACACTCTACACTTTCATTAGCTTATTAATTAAAAGACCTGAAGATTCTTTGATGGATTGAATAAATTGTTATTCTTAATCAGAGGTTTGTCTTGGCTTTGGCAGCATTTAATGAGTGTATGTAATTACTAATTGATATTTTTGTTGGCAAAATCCCCCTGAGAATAATTATATTGAGAATTTAACGAGCGAGCAAAGCCCCTCCAAAAACTCTGTTGTTACTGAAGTGCATTGATCCAGCCCCTCAATAGCCAAGTGAAAGTTCGAACCAAGTACCACAGTCGTAAACCAAAAAATAATAAGTATCATTAGCTATTGACTTCTGGGTCTCAGTGACACATGGAGAAGGAATTAAAAGAACCTTTCGAAGGGAACAAACTACAAGCTTGAACGTTTGCCCAAAGGTCGAACTTGGTGATGGGGTATTTCGAAATCTACCAGTATTAAAGCCTATGTTTGCATAAATCTTAGAATCATCGGTATTGACAAGACATGTATTTTTTTATCTTAAATGTTTTGTACCTCTGGTCACAGGCGGCACAGTGTTTAGTCAACGGTGTCTATGCTGTAGCGGTTAGATGTTTCGCCATCCCATGCAGGAGACTGTGTTCGGGAGATTTTTTATTTAGCATCTCGGTCTTTCTTCTGGGATGTTGAATCCCTCTAAGCCCCCATAAGCCCTGACGGGCTAAATAATCTAAATGGTTTCTATGGGGGCGTAGGAAAATAAATATATTTTAGAAGGAGAAATATCTACACCTCAGAAGTAAATACTGGAGTAAGACGAGGCTGTATACTATCACCTGTACTTTTTAGAAATGTGATCAATTTTGTTATGAGACAGAGCAATGACGTTGAAACCGGCATTGGATGGTAAATTGGCACATATTTTGGAGGTTTGAACTTTGCAGACGATATCTGCCTATTAAACATCACAGTACATAAAGTGCAATTAAAAACAAACGAATTAGCATAGCAGTCGTGCTGCTTAAAAAGTTGGCCTTGTAATCAATTGGTCCAAAGCAGACGTTCTACGACTATCACCAGAAACTACTCCCATCACTCTTTATGGAGAACCTCTTGCAAAGATTAATAAATTCAAGTACCTTGGCGACGTTATCTCCAAAATTGCAGACTGCCTTGAAGTCGTCTACCAAAGACTTTAAAAATGCATAGATTGCCTTTGAAAAATTAGAAAAAATCTGGAAGTCAAAGATGATTTCATCGAAGACGAAATAAAAATGTGTAACAGCAATATTTTGGCCATACTAACATATGGTTCTGAAATATGGAAAACAAACAAAGCAATTCAACGAAAAGTAAAAATCTTCCAGACAAAATTTTTACGAAGAATTTTACTAATAAAGTGCAATGAATTCATTACAAACAATGACGAATTGGAAATAGCTGGAATTGAATATATCAACACAATCATAAAAAGGAGACGAAGGAGATATTTAGGACATGTTCTAGGACTGCAGACATGATATTGGAGACTAACTGAAAAAAGAAATAGAGGTAGACCAACTGGTAGCTAAAGAAGCACAATTAGGGATGAGGCAATCACCCAGGGCCGGTATGTGCCGAGATAGGAGAACGTGGCCAGGGGCAGGCAGGCACGGAGTCGAACTGCTCTCCGCCTTATCATGTACCTGATGTATAGGGAAAAAGTAAGTAAATATATTATTATATATTATGATATATGTACGTACTTCTATCTCTCTCTCTCTCTCTCTCTCTCTCTCTCTCTCTCTCTCTCTTTCTCTCTCTCTGTCTCTCTCTCTGTCTCTCTCTCTGTCTATCTATCTATCTCTGTGTCTGCCCCCCCCCCCATCTCTCTCTCTCTCTCTCTCTCTCTCTCTCTCTCTCTCTCTCTCTCTCTCTCTCTCTCTCTCTCTCTCGATCGCTCTCTCACTCGTTCTGTCTCAATCTCATTTCGTCTCTTTCTCTCCCATCTCTCTTTGTCTCTCTCTCTCTCTCTCTCTCTCTCTCTCTCTCTCTCTCTCTCTCTCTCTCTCTTTCTCTCCCTTTCTTTCCCCTTCTCTATCTCCCCTCTCATGTCTATCTATCTATCTAGCTAGAATTCTGTTATACTAATTATGTGTGTCTTCCAACAAACTCAAGGTCGCTATGTCGTAGCAGTTATTGATTTATCCACAAAGAGTTGTTGAGATTATTTTTAAAAATTTGTATTGACATTGTCATTACACCAGCCAGAGGGACGGGGTACTATCAAATCCTTTGGTATAGACACGATTTGTACTTATTACCGAAGTACTTTAACCTACAAAAGCCTCGCAATCCTTTTGATACATAATTCCCCCTCTTTCTCTCTCTCTCTCTCTCTCTCTCTCTCTCTCTCTCTCTCTCTGTGTGTGTGTGTGTCTCTCTCTCTTTTTCTCTCTCTTTCTCTTTCTTTCCCTTTCTCCTTCAGTCTCTCTTTCACTCTCTCTTACCCACACACACACATGCGCACGCGCGCACGCGTGCACGCACGAGCACACACAACACACAAACACACACTCACACAAAAAACACACATACACACAAACACACACTAACACAAAATACACGCACACACACAAACACACAAACACACATACACACACACACACACA